ACTGGCAGGTGACAAAGATTTGTCCTGACTGTGGGCAAGGTAGGAAAACTCTAGCTACATGACCCAGCTATTAACAGCACTTGATGTTCTAGGAAAGGATCAAGGTTCAGTTCCCAGAACTCATATGAAATGGTTCACAACCACTATAACTCTAGTTCTAGGAGATCTTATGCCCTCTTCTGACCCTGTGGATAACTGCACACATGTGCTGCTCATACAGGTAAACAGGCACACACACACACACACACACACACACACACACACACACACACACGTGTGTGCGCACGCACGTGCGCGCAAATAAATAAATTTTAAGCTAAAGGGAAGCTAAGGACTGACACTTGAGGTTCTCCTCTGAACTCCTCCACACAAGAACATGCACATACACATACATTATTTTGAAAAGTGAAAAATACATGATTTTTGTTCCTGAGACTTTCTTCTGAATCTCTGGTTCAAAGGTTTAGGGCAATCTATTAGATTATTTTAAAAGTGTTAGGGAGAAAGTATAGATCACTCACAGAGGACCAAATTGGGGATGGGGGTAATAAGTTCACAGCCTCTGCTCTATAAGACATTCTGAGAATCCTGGCTAGAAAAGCAGGTTTTCTGAGTTGATCTCAGTTGTAGCCATTTTTCAGCCCAAATTCAAAGAAAGCTTTTTTTTTTTTCTATCCACCAGTGACGTCATTTAGTGTGACTATTCCTGCTAGAACTTCATTGGCTAACAGCCACAAAGCTACAACTTGCTTCCAGGAAAATTAAAAGCACAACATATAGCTGAATTACCCTTCATTTTAAAAAGCATGTTCTTGAGGTCGGGTGGTGGTGGCTCACACCTTTAATCCCAGCACTCGGGAGGCAGAGCCAGGCAGATCTCTGTGAGTTCAAGGCCATCCTGGTCTGAGCGAGATCCAGGACAGGCACCAAAATTGCACAGAGAAACCCTGTCTCAAAAAAAAAAAAAAAAAGTATGTTTGGGGCAAAGAAATAACACAAGTCCGTCCATAAGACTTCATCTCCACAGCAGACGTGTTCCTGGGAGTTTGATTTGCGGGGATGAAAAAACGGATAGAAGCTCGGCAAAGAGTTGATAATACTTTTTGAGATGCCCAAAATCTTTATTATCGTTTTTATTTTAGTACAAATAATGAGGATGTTAGAGGCATCTTCCTGAGACAGGACGTCAGGACACCTCACAGACGTCAAACAGATGTTTCACATGGATGACCCTCAAACTGATGTCACTGGGCAGACTTCCTGGGTCCTTTCTCCTACCATCTCCACCAGAACTGAGCTGTCTTCTCTCACTCCAGCTGCCTCTCTTCTGGGAGCTTCTCTCCCAGGGGCCTGGAGAAGGCATCCTGAAACACAAGGACATGTGACTCACTGCTGAGTGCAGCAGAATGACAGAGCCCATTTGGGGGAAGGAAAAAAAGAAAACAGTTTCATGGACTCTGTTTGCGAATGTTTCCAAACATCAGTGAATGGCTCAAAACATTTATATTCAAATAAAACCACATTCCCGGTATCATGCTGCCTGGTAAACATCACGAGAGACGACTGTCATAGACGGTTGTTATGGAACTGCACAACCAGAAGACAGGAAATGGAGAAGTTCACTTCAAAACATTCAACTAAGATGACTTTACCAGAGGTGGAGAGGGGGCCAAATAAAGTCCCAAGTCAGTTACTGATGGCTGGCAGGCTGAGTCTTTCTATGAGACCCTCTCCTGATTCCTCAAAGTTCCCATGTGGATAATTTCAGCCTTGGTAGCTTTTCCTCCAAGTCACAAGGGTAAGCTAAGATCCAGCAGTAACAATTCCCCAGCTGAATCACTCCCATCTTTCTGAAGAGAAAAGGAGAATCATAAAATTTGATACCTTAAGAGACAGAGCTTTTATTTTTCTGTTGCCATTCACTTTGTGTTTTTATAAGACAGAAAGAGAGAGAGGAGAGAGTGGAGAGTGCAGAAGGAGAAAAAGAATGAAAAAAATAATCCTGGAGTACATTCCCCTCATATCTGATACATAATTTATTGAAATTACATAATTTTTAAAAATCAAGGTAGAGTGAGTGGCACAGGCCTTTAATCCCAGCAATCAGAAGGCAGAGGCAGGTGGATCTCTATAGTTCAAGGGCAGCCTGGGCTACACAGTGAGGATCAGCCTCAAAGGAAGAGGGAGGAAGGAGGAGGAGGAGATTCTAAATTATTAAAGGCAGGGTCTAGGAGCACTTGCTGCTCTTCTGAAGGACCGAAGTTTCGTTCCTTCTTAATTAGGGTTTCTATTGCTGTGAAGAGACACCATGACCACAGCAAGTCTTATAAAGAAAACATTTAATCGGGGCTGGCTTACAGGTTCAGAGGTTTAGTCCATCACTGTTATGGTGGGAAGCTGCACGCAGACAGACATGGTGCTAGAGAAGTAGCGAAGAGTTCTACATCTGGATTGGCAGGCAACAGGAAGAGAGAGATACTGTGCCTGGCTCGAGCATTTGAAACTCAAAGCCGACCCCCACTCCCACCTCCCACCCACCACCCACCCCTGGTGACAACACTTCCTCCAACAAAGCCATACCTCTTAATAGTACGACTCCCTATGAGCCTATGGGGGCTATTTTCATTCAAACCACCACAAGTTCCCAGCACCCATATCAACAGCTCACAGCCACTTGTAACTACAGCTCCAACTGATGCCCTATTCTGGCCTCCATGAGCACCCAAGTAAATCCACGTGTACACATACATGCACATACAAATATAAATTAAGTAAATCCTAAGAATAAAGGCAGTGGCCATCAAGTACAATACGTCACACAAATGCAAATATTTTTGGTGTCTAAATTGATTCTTCAAACTTCATCACATGTACAGTCAGCTTTCAAAAAAAGGGAAAAGTTAAATTCAACTTTTGAAGTCTTAGCAAAGACAGCTATACCCACTTGACCTTCCTCTCTCTCATTTAGAGAAGGTCACTGTCTTAGTTTGGGTTACTATTGTGATAAAATACCATGATCAAAGTAACTTGGAGAAGGAATGGAGGAAAGGAAATAAAAATAATGTTGGTCAATTGAGAAAATATTAGGTAATATCAGTAAGCGTCAATTCTGTAAGAGCCCCTAACTACTAAAGCACTAGAACAGCTAAATTTAACAAGAGCCAGGAATAGCCAATCCAGAAATATTATGTGTTCCTCCATTGACATCAGATATATACACAAAAGGTACTGCCTCTTCCCCACACCCCTCAGCTCAGGAGTCAGATTATAGAGACACCAGGAAGAACAAATGATCCTGAAGAGAATTTCCACGCCCTTCACAGAAACTCTTGTATTCTTTGTTTGGGTCGTACTCATATCAGAAACGTGTGTGTGTCAGTGGGACACTGACTGCAGTAATGTCTCCTTAGTCATATGTGTCGCTAGGGGGCTAGGCTGTCTTCTACCTTGAACAATATCAGGTGCTGGGCTCCTCTGAACATCACCAGAACATGCAAAGCAGAGTTGGAATACAACCAAGAGGTTAAGCAACATCACCTAGAACAAGAGCGTTAACTTCCCTTCATGCAATAGTTCATTCCTTACCTCCTACACAAACCCAGATAACAAGAATTTAGATCAACTCAGTTTCCCAGTTTCCTCATTTCTTCTCCTCCTCCTCCTCCTTCTCTTCTTCTCCTTCTTCCTCTCTCTGTCTCTGTCTCTGTCTCTCTCTCTGTCTCTCTCTCTCTCTCTCTCTCTCTCTCATGTGTTTGTGTGTGTGTATATATGTGTGTGTGGTCTGCATATGTGAACACAGGCATACTCAAGTCACAACAAACATATAAAAGACAAAGGACATTTTAGTGGAGTTGGTTTTCTTCTACCTTTACATGGGCTCCGGGATGTCAGGCTTGTGGTTTTGAGTGCTTTTACCAGCAGATCCATCTCACCAGTCCCAGCTCTTCTTGTTTCTAATGACAACTTTTGTATTAGAAATTGCCCTAAGCTTCAAGTCAATTTCCCCAGAGACTGACAACCACAAGATCGCTCTGTCTCAGCACCCACTTTCCAAGGCACACAATGATCTTAATTCTTCTCAGCTCAGCCTTCCCTAAAGCACCCAGTGGAGACTCACTCACGAATGATTATCTATCCACACAGTCTCTGCCTACACCCAAGGCTTGTTGTCCAGGAGGACTGCGTGTACTTTTGCATGTATATCTTCCCAAGGTGTGCAAACTCAAAGCACAAAAATGTTACCACCACCAGAACACTGCCTAAGAACCCAAAATATGCCCAAAGCTCTGGGAGCTTCTTGTTCAATGGAGGAAGTAAAAGTTCCAGGCAGAAAAGTCAAAGGTCATCTTGGAGCAAAATTACTGGATATTTCTTTGTGGGACACTAGGAAAGACAGTAATTAAACAAAGAAGCAACAGAAAATGGTCTCCCAAAGTTACGTCTGGCTTCAGGAGATGGAAACAAGTTGTCTATAGGTCTCACTGTCTTCAGCCTGGAGATCTCTGAGAGTCTGAAGATTAATTAAATAACTGTAAATTTATTAAGATAAAATTCATGTTTAGTGATTGAAATGTAAATGCTATTGCTGAGCATTCTTGCTTATCATTACTAATAAATCACTAACAGAGAGTATACAGGCCTATGCTCTGATTTACTTTCGATTTCCTTTTGAATAGCAACAACAAAAAGGTTCAGATGAAGCCTGACAAGGTGGCTCATCCTGTAATTTCAGTTTCTGGATTTTTTTTCTCCTCTGGCATAAGAGAGAATTCCTTTGGCTCTGACAGTTAGCTGTGGTTATTCAGTCTCTCCTAGGCCCTCTCTCATGCTATCCAATGCTGATGTCATCAATCTTGCCCCACCATCTGCTTCTCCATCAAACACTGCATCAAAAAGATGAAAGCTTGGGCTGGAGAGATGGCTCAGAGGTTAAGAGCATTAGGTTATAGTTATATATATATTAGGTTATATATATTAGGTTTTAATAAGGTTAAAAACTGACTGTTCTTCCAGAGGTCCTGAGTTCAATTCCCAGCAACCACATGGTGGCTCACAACCATCTATAATGAGATCTGGTGCCCTCTTCTGGCATGTAGGCATACAAGCAGGCAAAACACTGTGCACATGATAAATAAATACATCTTCAAAAAAGAAAAAAAAAAAGATGAAGGCCGACTCATCATGGATTAGAACTCCCAAAATGGTAAGACAAAATATTTTCTTTGTATAAGCTGACTATATAGGTATTTTAAATAGCTAATAGAAATTTGACTAATATAGGGTCCATGATGTTTTGGGTAAATGAAGCCTATGGCAATCCCTTCCTTATGCATCTGTCTCCATGAAACCACATTCTATTCTATGGCTGCAGGAGATCATGGCATAAGACAACAGTAGAACCTGGAAAGGACATTTTGGAATGTTCGGGAACTGTTGTTGTATGACTGTCTTTAATATAGAGAGGGAAGCTATAGCCCTTTGTCCAGAATTTCCTGAGTCATAGAATGGCTGATCTTTCCCCCAGAAGACTGATTCCAGGCATGGTTCTCTAACAGATGATGCCATATGCCATTCACTCGCCGAGAAGCTCTCCTGGAAGCAGGAAATCAAGTTGGAATTTGGGGTAAATAAAAGCAATTGAGTGAAAGGGACCAGAAAATTCAGTGAAATTGTCCTCATAACTCAGAACTTTTCTGAGAATCTCAAGATATTTATTGCCATCTTGTCAATGTAAATAAGGAGGATGTCTCAGAATCCCTCTCCTAGCTGAGGTTTGATGTCACAGATGACCCTTATTAGCTCAGTCAATTTTAGACTAGGGCTCAAGGGCTACAGATCTCAGAGGTCCTGGGCTCCCTTGATACCCTCGCAAACAGGGATGGAACTTCTCCTAACCCATGTTCTCTCCCATAACTCCTTTCTCTGATGACATCAGAAAACATCTGGAAGAACAAGAAAGGTGCTTGATTATACATACCCATAACTAGGCAGAATGCCCATCTTAGAAAGCACCTATTGTAGAGAGCTGAAATAATGTATGGAAGTTAACTATTTCTGCACATCAAACTGTGAAGATATGTCAGGATGCTACTACTGACCTATGATCTGGTAAATACTTGCCACAAGAAATTATTTCTCAAGCTATAATACATAAGAAATGGAAAGGAGGAAAACATAATCAGAATATTTTTTCCTCAGTGATTTTATGGTTTCTTTTCTGACTCCCAAAATAAATACACAGATGATCCTGATGTTTATAAATTGCCCATAAGTAGGTGCTTTTACCTACATTCTAGAATTACCAAAGAGACCTTTATTCTATAACTACAGAGTTTTCTCATCTGAGAATCAAAAATATCATAGCTAACTTAGCAGCTCCAGTCCTTTTGGCACTAAGATTTTATGATCTTATAAGAAAGTGTGGCTGGAGGGATGGTTTGGTGGCCAAAGGCACTGGAGCTTTTGCAGAGGACCCAGATTTGATTCACAGCACTTAGTGAACAGCCCTCTGGCTCCTGTCCCAGGGATCAAATGCCTCTTCTGGCCTCTATGGGTACAGCACACAGACATACATGAAAACAAAACACCCAGATGAATAAAAATAAGTGTTTTTGAAAAGAGAATCTGGAGTAGTTCTCACCCCATCTAACCCACAAAATGACATAAAGTCCATATATGAGACAATGACATCGTAAAATAATGTCACCAAATGTCCACATTCTTAGCAACTCTTCAGATTCCTTACACTTTGGTTTTCATACAGTATTAGCACAAAGCGTAGGTGACTATCCAAAGAACTAACTTTCAAACCTGAGAGGCTCACTTATAATAGGTTAGCCTATGAATATCAGTACTAGGAAGAAGGAAAACGCAAGCATGGCCCACGGAGCCCAGGTTTAGTCACCCTTGGAGAGCACCAGCAAGTCTCAGAAATGCTTTTAAAGCTGAAGAGTAGGAGGGAGAGATTCACTCAGTCTCTGAGCTCTTGAAAGGAACAGCTGAACTTGCCTCATCACCTCTTGCTCAGTTCCAGAAGGCCCTAGGTGATCAGTGGACTTCTTTGCCTGCCATAAGGGAAATACTCTCATTGCAGAGCCGCCCGTTTGTCTCCTTAGAAATACTCACCTTGAGCTCTAGAGCAGCCAGGGACATTAGCAGAGGCAGGTAGAGACTGAACGGAAGTAGCCGAGGCCTTTGAACAAGTGACTGGGAATTAGTGACTTCATGGGAACTCTGAGGTAATTCGTTTAACCTAACCAAAAACATTATATATTCATTACAAGTTTATGTGTTCATTAATTCAATGGCACACTGGGGCTAGGTATTCCAGCTGTCCACACCTAACGTATTTTGGGTATGTTTGGGAATGTGAAATTTTCAAATAAATAGTAGTATTCTCTTAAATTTAGAAGCAAAAAAATTCAAATCCAATCATTTGTTCATATGGAAACTTATTTTCAACCTGTTTTGCTTATTTCCAAGCAAAATGATATGTTTTACAGACATTTCAACTTCATGTGAGAGAAACCTGGGCAGAGTATCTACAGAGCATATAAACAAGAACCACCAACATGGTTGTCATGGCAAAATTCAGAATCCAGTGTGTTCCCTTTCTGTGATATCACAAGAATCATGAAGTGGTAAGGAGGGCAGAGACCGTCTTCATGGAAGAAACAAATCCCATAATACAAACAATCGCAGGAACTGTGATCATTGAGTACATAACTTAGTAGTGAGTTGTATGTTTAGCCTGGGTGAAGCCCTGGGTTCAGTCTCCGGAAGGAAGAAATGTCACTGATATTTACATGAATTTGATCAACAGACCATCAAGACATCACCCAGTAAAAGACAGACCTTCATTCCATAGGCTTTCTAGCTGATGGTAAAACTTTACAAAGTTAATGAGAGTCCAGAAACAAGCCTCTGCTTTAGAAAACAAAAGATCATCCAGAGAAAGCCTCAGAGCCCTTAGACCAAAATTGGCAGAAGAAGGTATACCAAGAACATAGAAGCTGTTCTACCAAGGCCAGGATTTAGCAGACAATCCCCTTAATTAGCACATAGACTGTGGGGCTGATTAGTTCACAGATGTGAAGGACAGAGGATACATACTTGGCCTTCCCAGATGGTCTATCTTCAACTCATTATTGCCTTTATCTTTGTTGGAAGCATTGCGTAGAGAACATCGGCACCTGAGCAAGACTAAAACAGAACGCCTTAGGTCAGAGCCCAATAGAGACCCTCCCTCACAGTCCAGAGTCCTCAGGGTCCCCCACATCTTTGTACTGGGGTACACAAGTCATAAATCGGGGCTTGGGACACTTCCTCCTGCTCAACAAGTACCTAAGCCACAGATTTCATAGCGCAGCTCCGATCTGAGCCCACTAAGTTTTTCTATCATAAGGTTACAACTTCGATGACCTGTGAGCCATGGGCTGCGTGAGCTTGGAGCACAGAAAAAAAACAGTCATTCTCACTTCCGACAGCATGACAGGTGCCCACCCTGACCCATGTTCATATACACATTCTCTCCCTGAAGTTCCTCTGTTTTCTTAAGTCATGGTACTTACATTTCTTGATGTGTTGGTCTATCTCAAGCAAAAAAGGCATGACGAAAAGGAAAAATGCGAAGAGCATAACAAACACCGCATAGAGCCAAGGGACACCGTTCGGGAACACACTGAACCCTGCTTCTATCTCTGCCATTGGGACAGGAGGGAAGACATAGAATTCTCTGCCCCAGCTCCTTTACCTCCTCAGTCACCATGGCAATGACATCACAGCTTCAGTGACAATGGGCAAGTGAGGGTCTGAGTGGGCATTGGCCAAGCTTCATCCTATCTGGGACAAGAACAAGGATAGCTTTCTTCCTACTGTGGATTTTTTTCCTAATATTTTTGTGTGTGCATATGATGTGTGCATGTGTGTGTAGGTATGATCACCCTGTGTACATATGTGAGGTCAGAAATTGGCATCAGATGTCTTCCTCTTATTGCTCTCCACCTTTTTTGGAGACAGGATAAATGATAGTTGCCATATCATCTAGACTAGCAGGCTAGCAAGCTGTTTGCACACCCATGCAAACACACACACACACACACACACACACACACACACACACACACACACACACACACTAGCACTAAGATTTCAGACCTGTACCACACAGCTTTAACATGGATGTTAGAGATCTTAACTCTGGTCCTTAAGTTTGCACAGGAAGCCCTTTACCCACTGAGACACCTCCTCAGCCCCTATGTAGTTTTCTTTAGGGGACAAACACAAAATTGGCTGTCCAGACCAGTCAAGAAGGTAGCTTTCTATGTATTCAGAAAGTACAACGTATTACATTGCAATACCTATATTCATAAGGAGGAGCCAATATATTGCTTTAGATTTCTCAATTCTGGGATTAGTTTTAAGGGATTAACATTCAAATTTGAGAATCAAATCAAGAAGGAATATGTATTCCTCAAGAAAGATTTTCTGTTCTTTCCTAGAATCCCTGCCATCCCTTGCCTGGTGTTCATCAGAAACGTGTGTCTTATCCAAGGACAGGAATACCTCCCCCATTACATGGGTCAATGAGGAGAAAACACTTCATTTTCCAAGATGAGAGTGGTATCTCCCTTCTGAGCACAACAGGAATATCCTGGGTGCTTTGAGAACCCCCACAACATGCTCCCTGGTCCCAGCAGCATTTCCCAAAAGAAAGTGAAGAGAAGGCAAAAGGATGGGCTAACCCTACCTGGTATGGCACAAAGCCTTTCTCTGCGCCTTCATCCATTTCCTACTACCGTGGCCAAATGTCACAGAATGGGTAAAGATTTCCTCTGCTCACTGTCCTTGAGGCTGGGAAGTCCAGAGCTGGGGATATCCCTACTGGGGGCTTTGTGGATGTGCCATTCTATCAAAGAAGAGGTCAGGGGTGCATGCAAAAGAGATACAGGAGAGTTGACTGGCTTTATAACGACCCACTCAGGATGCCTACCCACTCTTGCCACAATGGTATTTGCCCACCAGTATGATCACCTCTTCTAGGACCCCCTTCTAGTGATGTAGGGGAAATGAGCTTCCAAAGCATTGCCTTTGGATTGACACATTGAAACCATAGCACTCAATAGTGGGACTTCCCTTGAATTAATGTCTCTACATTCCTAATCCATTACACAGTCCTAGCCAACATTCTCCTCCATATTTAGATCAACCCAGCTACCCTTTCTGGAAGTTTTTACAATAGAAGTTGTCTCATGCTTAAAGTCACTTTTCCCAGAGACTATCAACCTACTGGCACAGGGTAACTCTATCCTATAATGTCCTCCAAGTATGCCATTTTCCCAATGCTTGTTTAAACACAGTCTTCCCTACAGTGACCAGTGAATACCCATGGGAAGATAATGCTGTGTCTTCCATAGTCACATAGTCTTTGCCAGCTCCCAAGTCCTGTACACTCTATAGAGTATTTCATGGCAAATCTGTGCTGTCCATAGAATTCAGCACTGGCATGAATCAGTCATTCATGGAAGCTTCTGGAATATGGACTCTGTAGATCGTGGATTTTCTCCAGCTGTGATGGGTGGGATAAAGTTAGAAATCATTAGGAAGCACAAGTCCAAAATCCACAAATTTGCAGAAATTAGGTAGCACACTTTTAACCCATGGATCAAAGAAGTTAAACTAGGAAATATTTAGAGACTGATGAAACTGTGGCCAGAGCACGCCACGTGGGGTGCGATGAAAGCCACAGTGACCGCTGTGGTTTCCAGACAGAGGACCGTGCCTTTTCTAGAAGTTTTGCTTTGATGCATTTGTGTTCTCCCTCTGATAGGCCTAGATGTGATTCTTCTGATTATCTTGGTTGACGAGCACTCTGCGGCTCTTTCCAAATTAAGACCTCAAGATATTTGTTTTACTTCTATTAGCTTACTTACTTATTTATAGTATTAATACAAATATACTTATAAATATACTATTATTTCCTTACCTATTCTTATTAGCTCTTCTGTTATTTTTACTGCACATCTGTTTATTTTCTTCTGGGACCTGATAGGTAGCTTCTGCCTCTGTATCCTTTAGAACATCAGCAATATTTCTGCTTCTATTCTTTTCTCTTGCCTCCCTGGTAAAATGATATTCCGACTCAATAATTTGGTTTTTTATTATGTCTATGCCACTTCCCAATTTCTTTATTGCTTAGCATCTCAATGCTAAGCAATGTTCTTACTTCTGTGAAGAGTTGTGGGCACAGTCAGTAGTTGGGCTGGTGGCCACAGCCTTCAGTGGCTGTGGACAGTCAGTAGTTGGGATGGCGGCCACAGCCTTCGGTGGCTGTGGAACAAGCCATACGAGAAGCTGGAAAATGATTGCATTTCAGAACTTGTCCTGAATGCAGTTTGGATTTCTCCAGTGCAGCCTCCTCTCACTCCCCAACGCCTGCCATACCCATTGCAATCCAGTCTCCAGGTCAACCTATGCATCAGTCCACTCAGAGAAAATGTTCACTCCAATGGGGTTCATTTGTTGATTATTTACTCACATAATTGTTACTATTCTTCCAGGGTTCTTTTGAAGGCTAGGGTATCTCTGTTAGTTCTGTGTTCTTGCAGAAAAATGGAACTGGGGCATAGAAAACAAATGTTTCTACTTTATGCAGATGTATTTTGAAAACAGTAAAAAACAGTTGTCATTTTGGAACCAAACTTCATCAGATATTATCAATGAATTGTTTGATTTCAAATTCTAAAATTAAGTGTCCCTTTGTCTGTGATGGTTCAATGGTGATCATTCTAGCTAGAGAAACTCTGCAGATGGTATAGCCCTTCCAAAGCAATGTAAGATATGCATAACACACAACTTCAGACAAAGTGGAGATCAGCAAGGGCTTTCTGTTACCATCTACCAGATATCACCAGAGGTTCAGAGTCTTTTTCTGTCCATCAAACACCTATTTGTATTTGTAAACACGGTGGTTTGTATCATGAAGCAAAAATTTACTCTATGGAAATTTAAAATACAACACTTGCTTTGCATCCAAGAAAGCACCATGCATGGGTTATACGTAACAGAAGCAAAAGTTGATGTCACCTGTGTACTGTGTTTCAAAAGTTCAGCACATGACCAATTTGTTAACTGGGTCTATATTCCTAGCAGTAAAGAGTAAAAGTAAAAGTAAAGCAGTAAAGTAACTCAGTGCACAAGGTTCCTATCTGCACCCACAAAATCCAGAGTGACCTGTTTCTGTAACAAAACTCTATAAGGGTTCTAGGCTGAAATTTGGACATTGCCCTTGGAACCAGTACAAAACACAAAGTTAATCTAGGCCCCTAATAGGCAAAACACAGATCCTGTTTGGTGGGATCAGCTAATACCCAGGCTACGGCAAAAATGAGAATCAGGGAAACAAGAGTGGCCAAATAGAGACTGTAGGCAGCACAGAGTGTCTCTGATTCCCTGGCCATGAAGAAAAAAAAACTAGGATCTGACGTGGACAAAGTTCTGCTTTGCCTCTGTGGGAAGGAGTGCTTAACTGGCTTCCTCTCCTGTCGCATGTCTATTCCCGTGACAGGAAGATGTTTGTAGAAGACAGAAGTGACAACCTTTCAACAGATACAAAAAAAAAAAAAAAGTCAAGATGAGCAGGTGAGAGTCATGGGGAAGACGGAAGAGACCCCAAGAGAAACCCGTCCTGTGGAGGGGCCGAGAGAGAAGAGCTGTGGGACAGCGCGGTTTGGTGAAGGTTCTGCTGGTCACACCCTGCCCCGGCTCTAACCCTTTCTGCCTTTCCTTTAACACCAAAAGGGGCAAACTGTTGAGTAGGTGGCACGAGCTCTTAAGGGTGGTTTTGAAGGAGAAGATGGTAAACTGCTCACGTACTAAATGAAATGGAACAGAGAGAAGCTGGAAAGCATTGTGGGGAGGGACAAAAAATAAAGACAGAATTCAACAAAAACACACAGAAGTAATGGGAGAGCCATGAGAAATTATATAGCAAGTCTATGCACTAATTCAAGTCTACCCATTAATTCAACCACTCTCCTTGTTATTGGATGGCCTGGAGAGTTTGGCCATTCTGTCTGTGGAAGCTACTTCTACACCTATATGATATGCCGACTCTAATGACTTCTCCCAGGGAGTTCAGAGAGCCAGCCAGACTGATCTTACTCTGCCCAATATATGATCCCACCAACCACACCACAGATAGAAAAATAGCTGCCTTGTTTCCTTCCTTTCCCACTGATGGACACACACTGGAGTAGAATGTGGAGAGACAAGCAGAGGCTTTTCTACTCATCCATTGTCATTTGTCTTCCCTTTATTCCCCACCTAGAAAAGCACTTCATTTCTTCAGATAAGCCAATCCAAGATGGTGGAGAACAGCAATGGTGGAAATGGAGATCAGTTCACATATAATCGACCATTTGCCAATATTTTCCGAGATGTTGTACATGAGCATTTCCAAGGCGATGAGCCAAGAAGGCGTTCCCACCTTCATCACAGCTATAACATTTTGAACAAAACAAAAAAATATTCTGCATCCTTGTAGACTAGACTAGCAGTAGTCTGTGGTCCACTTCAAGCACTGCTCTAGCCCACCAAAGGAAGGGAAGTTTCTGATCTCCTCTTATGGCCAGAGGAAGTAAGAAAAAGTCACCTGAAATAGTTTTCTCAACTAAACCCTGTGTGCTTTCATTTTAAAACATCACAAGGCTGGAGGGGTGTCATTCCATAGTAGAGTGATTACATGGTTTGTGAGACCCTGAGTTCAGTCATCATTATCAAAAAAAAAAGTAAATTAATTCATCAACAAAATGAAATGAAATACTTGTGTTTCTTTTCTGAAGAGAAGGGGAAGGAGCAGATATGGGGGCAGGGCAGGAGGAAGGATGTGGGGAGAGACTGGGAGGAGAGGAGGGAGAGAGAGAAGGGACACTGTGATTGGGCTGGGAATAATTAATTGAATAATAAAAGCCCTGGTCTTGAGAATGTGTGAGACAAGCTTCACTGAGAGCTAGATGTTTCTGTTTACTATCCAAATGAGAACATCCACGGCACTGTGCCCCAGTAACTCAACCATTAAAAGAATCCATTGGGCTTAGAAGTAAATTGAAATATAATTGCTCCATGGCCCAAATTTTAAAATTAATAGCTTGGAAATGTCCTGCTTCCAACTAACTTCTGTATCTCTGCATTCTAATCATGTGTCTGAGTTTTTATATTTTGACTTATATCTCTCTTAGAAAGTTGTCTCTCCTCATGTAACCATATTTGAATCACTGAGATTCACTGAGAGAAAGGCCAAAATTACAGAAGAAACAATTGTTGTAATCATCACAGAACATTTCTAGACTCTTCCATCGTCTTCACTGTAAGATTGATCGTTGGGATGGAAATCTGATATCTCCCCCACCAGAATGTCTCTGAAGAGGAGGAAATACATGTATGTGTTGAGAGGCTGCTTTACCAATTCTATAAAATCAGTCTCTACTAGTCATGAGACGGTCGCAAAGATTTCTCAACTACACAGAGTGGTATGAGAAGGACACCGTATTTATTATGGGATAGTTTATGCAAAAAGAGGACACAATGCAGTGTTGGCAGATCTGGTCACCATTGTGGTGGTCTCTGAACCCTAGCCTGGAACATAACTCAGATGGTTTCAGGACAGCCACACTGGTTCATTCGATGACACCCCAGGGTCTCTTAGCTCAGTGAACAGACTTCCAGCCCCTTCTTCCTTATTCAGGATTCTCTCCTTCATCAGTTCTTCCTCTGAGCAATAGGAAAAACAAACAGGAACAGAAAGTTTAGAGTCTCGTTATGTTACAACCCAAAGACAATAGGAGCCTCCTGGAGACATCTGAACCATGGGCAAGCCACAAAGAGGAGGTCCTGAGAAAGTGAGCTCGGATTATTTTCTCAGTAATGTCTGTCCTAGAGGTTGGTGCCAACTCAGGAACTCTAAAAAGATGTTTCTCAGTCTGTCCATACAAACATGGACATAGAATCAGAGGAGAGAACTGGAAATACCTTGCTTTTCCATGCAAAATCTCACGAAACTAGTGACAGAAAAGTATGTGATCTGTTCCCAACTAGTCTATGAGGACAGCTAACGAATCTCGACTTTCCAGCAAACCACAGAGATAACCCTAACTTTCTATTGAGGTCCTTGAATGGATGCACGTTAAGATATGGGCTTTAAATATCTCCACAAAGCTCATCTGCCGAAGGCTTGTTTCCCCAGCACAGCAGTGTGCCCAGGGGAGGTGAATGGGTCATGCGTGCTCTGATTTCATCAACGGATTAACCCATTTATGGATTCTTAACAACTGGAAGAGAGGGTGGATTATAAATGTAAGACCTAAAGGCTCAGTGTCCTGTGCTGCCGCTTGGGTCCCATTGCCATGGAGTAGCCCTGGGATGTCCAGCTTATCCACTTCACAGACAGGACACTCATAGAGACTTGCAGGCCCAGCAGACACTTGACTTCTATAAATAACCTCATCTCCTCTAAGAAAAGAACAGGGTGAGAAATGTAGAAAAGTGATGAGCTTTTTCATGGGATGCAAAATAGGGTCATTCTGCATCTAACACTGACTTTTTGTTTTATAACCATGAGAAACTTGTCGCCTACTTCCATTTACTCTATCTTGTAGAGGTATTTGGCTATGTAAATCCTGTAGTATCTTCAAGTACTGACAATCCCAGATTTTGTACCTGAAAGCATTCTGGATAATTGTTATTAGACAAATCAGCTTCAACATTTGAATGTATTATTTTCTTTGAATAAAGTGTGCACCAGATCCCAATATCTTTCACAAAATATTTTGTCATTGCCAGCCACCTTTTAATATTACACTTTTTCCTCCAACCTGACACATTGGTTTGAAAAATACTGTCACATTATTTAGATACAAATACTTATCTGAACCTGCTAGATCAGCTATGGCTATGGACCACAAGGCTGTCACAGAGGTATCACAATAAAAATCAGAGCATAAACAGTTGGATGAAAGGTCATTTTTCTTCTATCATAAGAAAAAACTCTGTGCCATCCTTCTCCTAGGACTCCTAGGTGTAGCTTTCCAAAGTGTTCCCTTTAGCGCCCTTCCACACGCAGCCACGCCTGTTTCAAGAGCCATTTCCCCACACTTCCTAGCACATATCCAGACCAACTTTGATATACCGCTCAGTGAACTGTCACAGCTTAGCCCCTGAGTCATCAAACAAGGAACATTTTAAGGACAGGACATGAGCATAGTTCACACATGTAAATGCTAGATAAGGCTCAGGACAGAAATTCAGCCTTGAAATGTTTTCTTCTAGAAAACAGAGGACTTGATATCTTCTGGAGATCACAGAGATCTCTTGACATCTTCAGCACGTGGACACAGCTCTGAGGTAGGACTTAGAACGCTACGTGCAGATACCGTGCACACTCTGAGAATCTTCCCACATGATTGAGGAGACTGAAGTCCACACTC